ATATATGTATATACCTTTAATTTTATTGATATTAAATTTAAATTCAATACATATAATTATTCTAATGTTCATTTCAGAGTTAAATGACCGTGGCCATTTTTTGAATAACTTTTGATAGGAACGAGATAGAAATCTTCGGTTTTCACCATTGGAAATAGTAGATGAAGACACATCGAACTATATATAGAAAGATTTTCCTATAGGTTTAGTCAAAAGTTTTTAAAGAATTGCTTTTTTCTCCTACGTTAAAAAAGTCACTTTTCTATCAAAATACGACAAAAATTTACATTTTTCGATTATTTTATTGAAAAAAATGAGGTAGTAAATTGTGTTCCGATGGTTTGGATATCATACTGGTAGTAGTTAGAAACAGCATCTTGATATAGTTTTGTAGCCCTTCCTTTGGCAATTCTGAAAATCAATAAATTAATATCGTGACCATCAGAAACATGCCGTTTCTATTGAAGTTTCATGTAAAATCTATAGGAAAGTACTTAGGACAAACCAAAAATTCGTAGAACGGTTTTAAAGAACCTTGTCGGATAAGGTAACCTATTCAAAAATACACCATGTTGTAGAGCTTTTTGAGGCGCGTCGAATGGTATATAATAAATCCTGTTTTCATAAGACTTTGACGGAACTAGAGTCAATTTATTGATAGACGACTACACACCCACACTGACAAGATGATCGGAGATGCTACATATATGAGGTTGTACTCCGTCAAAAACTCTGCAAAATCGTATGTGCGAAAAAATATTTTACAAATACTTTCAACTAATCCCATATTCAGTAACCTATCATACTTAGGTGAGGGTGTGTAGTCGTCTATCAGTAAATTGACTCTAGTTCCTTCAAAGTCTTATGAAAACAGGATTTATTATATACCATTCGACGCGCCTCAAAAAGCTCTACAACATGGTATATTTGGTTTTTCATTTCTGAATAGATTACCTTATCCGACAAGGTTCTTTAAACACCGTTCTACGAACTTTTGGTTTGCCCTAAGTAGTAGTTAGAAAAATCTTTCTATATATAATTCGATGCGTCTTCATCTGCTCTTTCCAACAATGAAAACCAGAGATTTCTATCAAAAGTTATTCAAAAAATATTCACGGCCATTTAACTTTGAAATGAATATTATTAATAATATATCAATTTTAGATGTATATTCGTCAATATAATCCTCGTTTATATCTATGTTTATTATATAAACATATAAAAAATTTTTCTACAATATCATCATCAAATATTATTAAATCTTATCCAAATTATGTTGAACGTCAAACAGAAGTTGTTATTAATACATCATCAGGTGATGAATTTATTGAAATTGATCGTGAAACAAAAGTTAAAATTCCTAAACCAACAACATCAATACGAGCTAATATAAATTATATTGATACAAATCCATTAGGTGATAAAAAACAATCAATTGTTTTACTTGTTCATGGTTATCCTGGTACACATGAATCAATAAAAAATTTTATTGAAGAATTTCAACAAAGAAATTTTCGTTGTATTGCACCTGATATGCCTTGTTAGTTAATTTAATTTCTATTTTGTTTTTGTATTCAAAAATAGAATAAAATATTTATGAGATTTTAGATTGTGGTAAAACAACAATGCCTCTATGGAGTGGAATAATATGGAAAAATTCAGTTTATTTACGTGCAAGATTTCTTGGAGAATTATTAAAAAATATAATGCAAGATAAATTAGTGTAAAAAAATTTTTTTTTATGTAATTCTCTAATATGTATATATATATAGACCTATTCATACAGTTATTGGTTTTCATGAAAATGCTTATACATTAATGTCAATGATTGATCAATATGAATATTTTCATTGTCAATCATTAATATTAGTTAATCCTGTACCTAGAAAATTAATACGGTAGAAATTTAGATAAAGAAAAAAAAAACTAAAGAATTTTTTTGTATTTTAAAGATTTTTTCCATTAGCTAAATTTGCATTTGATTTTGGTCGAATTCCACTTCATTGGCCAATAGCAAAATTTCTTTTAAATATTTTTGGTTATAAAGAATTATTAAATTATTCTCAACGTGATATTATGGCTGCTTTACGTATTTGGATGGTTGAAGATACATATCAAGTAAAAAATACAAAAAAAAAAGATTTAACTTTTTGTTTATTTTAATTTAATTTATAGTATGATGCATATGTACATAATTTATGGTTATCTCGTTTACGTACAATGGTTATTTTATCAGAAGAAGATAAACATCTCGATAGAAAATTATTAGATGCATTAATTAAAGATTTAGCTGTTGAATCTTTCAATAAATGTAGGTAAGATTATATAGAATTAGCATGAATTCGAACTGAACTTTTCAACGAAGTTTTTTTCATTTGAACTTGGCAATACAACCTAACATGAGAAGACGCCGTATTTTTGTATGATCTCTCCTGAAAAAGTTAAAAGTCTCACAAAAAACAAAGAAAAAGGTGTTTTCTTAGTCGATTTCTCGATAAAAGTCATTTTTGTGATACGTTTGACTTTTTGAACAAAGTTCGTAAACAATGTAGCGATCTATTTTTACAATGGAGTTGTTAAAAAATAGCTTTTATGACCTAAAAGCTATCATTCATTGACTATTAAAATCACTATTTGAGTTTAAGTTCAATACTTAACATCATATAAAAATAAACAAAAATTCATTTGTTTTAAACTTTTCTCTACCACATGAGGCTCTTGTAAGACTAAGAAAAGGTTAAAATGAACATGAACATATCTTTCTCGACATATATAATTTAAATAAGAAGAAAAAAAAAACAGCAGTCTGTCATAGGAGAACGAATCTATTTAGAAATTAAATATATCGAAAATAATTTTCCATACTATTAAATCCACGTATAGAAAAAAAAAAATTTCAGATCAAATTTCTTTGCCTTTTTTAAAAATATCTTGCTCTTGATAGAAAAAAAAAGGTCATCACTCATTATCAATTGGTTGTGGGCTCGAATCCTTTTAAGCTTTTCTTAATCTTATTCATCTTCATAATAAGAAATCGAATGACACTCGACAAAATGAATATGTTTTGTCGTTAAAAGATAGAAAAATTAATCAACAATGATTTATATCATTTAATAAAGCTAATTAATGTCAAATCTATCAAAGTATATATATATAATATAAAATCAACAGTATAATTATAAATTAATGTTGAATTTCTAATATTATTTATTGATCAAAATACAATTAAAATGAAATAATAATTAGAAAAGACATTAACTTAATTAGTTTTGTATAAATTTTACAAAAGATTTTTTTGTTTTTTCGTTCGACTAAGACAAAAAAAAAAACATCTATCAAAATAATCAATCACTTTATTTTTATCTTAATAATAAAAATCAATAAACTTCTTATGATAAACTATCTAAGAAAAAAAACAAACATAAAAATGTCACATTTTGAATTTCTTCTTTTTTTTTCTTTTTCTCAAATAATTGACGTTAATCATTCAACGTAACATAAAATAAAAGGTCATTGAAATGTTACGCATAAATCTATGATTATATATTCGTTCATTGATAATATTGAATCATCCTCTCATACATATCAACTTAATTATGATAAATCAAATATTCTTAAAAAATGATTTCTATTTAAAGCATCTATGGCGAATGCTGTTATTAAAAAATATTCTTGTGATCATAATGAATTATTAACTGATCGTATCAGTTATATTGTCAATGATATTGAAACATTTCTTTCAATGGCTTTTATGTCACCAGCTGCTACCATGTTCGTATTTATATGATTTCTTTCTTTTACTTTTTCTTCATTTTTTTTTGTTGCATTAGACCACAATCATTTTCATCGACAATAACAAAAGAAAAAGAAAGAAGAAAACAAATTATTGAAACGAACAACAACAATAACAACGAACAAAAAAAATCAAATATTGAACTTGATGAAAGTGCATATAAACGTGCTAGTGTTAATGATTTTTTTTCTAATGCATTTGGTCCAAGTCAATCAGAATTAAAACCAAATCAATCACATAGTTTACGTTCAGCATTTGAAAATATTGCTGGAGGTTTTATTGAACGATTACCACCTGGTACAAAACGAGAAACATTAGCAAGTGTAAAAGAAGAAATGCGAAAGAAAAAAATTCGTATTGACACAAAAAATTAAATACATACAAATGAGTGGTGTACGTGATAAATATTGTTTTTTTTGTTTTGTTTTGTTTTATCATTAAGTGTTTATATTGACTCTGGTCATACATAGATGTGTGAGAAAAGGTCAATTTATAACGAACATCTTCATTTGATTTATTTCAGATGTTCCCATCACATCTCTATTGGTTTCTTTATCGTCGTCGAAATAAATTATTAATAGTTCTTATGACTATATTTTGTATAGTATTTTTCTTCTATGGAAATGAATATAAAGTATCATCCGAGAATAAGAAACAAAAAGATAAACAAAAAAAAATTGTTGAGAAACAAAAAATACGTATTAATCGAGAAACATATACAATACCAGAACAATGTCGAGGTTGTCCAGGTGAAAATGGACAAGGTGTACAATTAACAGTAAATAAGAAAAGTTTTTAAAATTTTATTTATTTATATTATTTTTCTTTTTTAGGCTGAAGAATCGAAAAATTTAGATGCTGTAATGAAAAAAGAATTTTTTAATTTACGTGCAAGTGATAAAATTTCATTATGGAGATCAATACCGGATACTCGCGATCAATTGTACGTAAGACTATATTATACGAATTCGAATTGTTTATTTGTTTTTCGATCATATATAAAGAAATTAATTAGAATTATATGATATTTTCTGTAAGCAATCATGAATTTTAGTTATATTTTATATCTCTCAACAAAAAATTAAAAATTTGTTACACTTTAAAATACTTACTTGATAAAAAAAAAATGAATATTCTACAAAGATACTAAGTAAAAATTGCTCAAAATGTAAATCTATAAAACATTATAAATAGTACCATAATTCTGATATTATTGATACTAATACTATTTCCATTTGTTTTTTTGGCTACTTCTAATTCTTAACAAGGGTGCAGTCAGACAAACTCTGATTTTTTTATGGAATTACATCGAGCTCGCTTACGAACTCTCTTCAGTTTTCTCGGCTGGAGTTTCAAATTTTTCGGAAACCTCTTAGACTAAATCTAAGAGATGATTTAAAAGCTTTAAAAATATTTCACCTTCTTTTATATGAGAATTGCATGTAAAGGCTTGAATTCTAAAGCAAGGCGTTGATATTTCGGGCTCTCGGAAACACTTTTAAATATTTATAGTAACAGTTTCAGTTCGATAAGTCTAACGAGGAAATTCATCCGACTTATAATCTCCGTTGGAGTCCACAGAGAAGACTCTCAGTATATTGTAGAATGCCACGAGAAAAAATCGCAACAAGAAGTTTTAGCTTAAACGGATAATTTCTTCTTATGATATCGTAAGCCTAAAACTGAATTCTTTCCGGAGCTCTTCTGTAATAGTAACATTTTTTTGCAAATATGTTTTCTCAAAATGGAAACATCCATTTGAGCTGAAACTTTCAGGATAACATAAGGATTCTAACATTTTTTTCGTGATATTCTGCAATCGACTGGAAGTTCAGTAAAATGATCATAAATCGAAAAGACAGATCTAATAGCACAAACCCTTTCAGGATTTTTATCTACACTACGATTTTGATCTATGAACGTGAGCAATCCTGACTTTGTCCTATTTTCCTTGAACATCTTTATGTGATCGAAAAACTGAAATAAACATTTCATCTTAAGATTTCGTAGCAAATGTTCGAATTTATTTTATATATATATATATACATAGATGTAAATCTATTGAATATCCAAAAGATTTACCAACAGCATCAGTTGTTATAGTATTTAAAAATGAACGTTGGTCACCAGTTCTTCGAACAGTTTATTCTGTACTTAATCGATCACCAAAACATTTACTTAAAGAAGTTATTTTAGTTGATGATCAATCCGATATTGGTAAATGAAAAGCAAAAGGATTATTATTCATTTGATAAGAATAAATTTTCTTTTTAATTCTTTAGAGGAAATGGGTCAACGTTTAGATGATTATTGTGAAGAACATTTTGGAGAGTTAGTACGTGTTTTACGAGCACCAACAAGACTTGGATTAATTAAAGCAAAAAATTATGGTGCAAAGAATGGTGAATAAATTTAGTCATTAACAAAAAAAAAAAAAAAAGAAAATTTATTGTTATTATTTTTTCTAGCTACTGGTGATGTTGTTGTATTTCTCGATGCACATTGTGAAGCAAATGCTGGATGGTAAATAAATAGAATTGAAAATTTATTTAAATATAAGAAAAAAAAAACTCTAGGCTTGAACCATTAGTTTATCGTATTCAACAAAAACGAACAGCTATACTTTGTCCTATAATTGATGCAATAAATAGTCATGCTCTATCATATCATGGAGGTTCAGTTAATTGGGTTGGAATCTTTATATGGTCACTTCATTTTTCTTGGTCTCATATTTTTTCTCGTATTCAAAATTTACGAAAGTCTTCAATTGATCCTTTTCCGTAGTTTATGTTTTTTTTTGTTTTTTTGCTATTTGCTTCATGTTTTTTTAAATGAATGGTGATTGGGATATTATATTTTTATAGGTTAGAACCACTTTTGCTTCGAATTAAAGAAAAACGTTCAGCTGTTTTATGTCCGGGTATAGATATGATTAGTGATCAAAATATGGCTTATGGTGTAAGCCATGTTTAAATATACAGTTGGGATTTTGTTTTTATATTTTGAATTTTTTAAGGGTACGGGTGATGGTAGTGTTGGTGGTTTTTGGTGGTCATTACATTTTAATTGGATACCGATTCCAGCACGTACACGTAATGCAAAAAAAACAAGAATTGATCCGTATCCGTGCGTAGTTTAAGTTGCTTTTGTTTGAAGAATTTTTGGTGCTTATTATTTAATATTGAACATATTTTATTTATTATTTTTTTTTC